TGTATGTATGTATATATGCTGAAGAATAGAGATGTTACTTTAAAGTAGCATACACAGAAAAGAAGGAGATATAAGGATGACAGGAGTTTGATAGGAAAGAAGGAGCAAACCACACCAGAGCACCTACCAACCACCTACAACAGTTCTCTCTTTCACGCCTTGTTCAACACAAATTAGACAGACTCCTCTTTCTTTTATTCCATCCGTCACTCCCCATAATATGTACAATCAGCCGCGGTTCGTCCATAGAGCACGGTTGTGCTGTGTCGCCCAAAAATGTTTAATGTTCTGTTACGTAAAACACCCACAATAATAAAATATAAGAAGCCAGAAACAAACACTAGCCAAATATTATACCAAAACAAAGGTCCTCACTGGCGCCATAATACTGTCATTTCTGTGTCTATAGCGCCGAAAAACATCTATTATGCCTTGCCAAAGTCCGTGCGCTTTAGCTAAACATGATAGGATATTCAACAGTGTAACCTGACCTTTAAATCGCTCTTGGGGATAACCCAAGCGATGACGACATTCGTAGCGAGTTTGGCGGTACATTAATTTAATAAGACGGCACATCTCAAATGTGCTCCTGCCGCACAGTGCCGAAACATAGCCTACAGTAGGCAGTCTAAAAATAAACGCGATAGACCTACGCTTGCATATTCGTTCGTTGCCAATATTATGTGAGCCCCGGAGCACTCCAGCGAAGTGCTCAAGTGAATTGTGATTGGTTCATTATCTGTCTTGCCCCATGATCTATTTTAAGTAACTCTGTGACCGATAACCTGAGGAAGGTGGACGTGACCGTCCTATGAGTTGTGCCTTTGAATGGTTTTGTAGTGGAGTAGTGAGAGTTATTACTTTAGTGTTCAGTTCCAATACAGGATGAATGGAATTGGTGTTAATTTAAGCTAACAAACTAATTTAGTACTAGAAATCAAAACGACAAGTAAAAAGAATGAAAATAAAAGCACGAGGTCCTCCCTCACCAACTCAAAAACCTAAAATTATACACCGTCTCATTTACTACGCCCTTGACTATCTGCAGCTTTCGATAGCGTAATTATGCACGTCCACATTCTTTCCCCTCGAGTCGCCCCTGTGTATTATGATAAGTTAGGCATGCTGACAAAATGAGTTACTTCTCGAAATCCACGAATGGAGATATTGGCCAAAAATAGACATTAGGTTCAAATTTGTAGATTTTTTATTGGTGCCATATTCCTAAACTATAACATGCCTTTTATTATTTCATACTTATAAATTGTTACAATTTTACCTGTAAGAGTGATGTATCTATTTCCTTAAGGCTTGAATCTGAGAAGTAACTCATTTTGTCAGCACGCTTCACATATCCCTCTCACTTTCCCCCGACTCCTGTTTCTCCCCAGAACACCCCCGACAACCACCCGTTCATCGACAGACACCCAAGACATAAGAACATTGTCATCTGTGCTGGCTTCTCCGGTGAGGAATGTGTGTGTGTGTGTGTGTGTGTGTGTGTGAGAGTGTATGTGTGAGTGTGTGTGTGTATGTGTGTGTGTGTGTGTGAG